AAAGAATTAACATTATTGGGAGAGATGTTTCTTTCGCCAACGGCATTGCGATTATTATCTAAACCAGGACCACCAAAACTGAGCCAATCATTATAAACATTATTTGTGAGCACACCGAGGAAATTATGTGCGAATAAAGTCGTCGTGATAAATAGAGTACGAATTAATCTCATTTTTTCTTTAATTTTTAGAAAAAAATAAAAGAAAGTGAATGGGATGAAAAGATTGTGTATAAAATTCGTCGTATTTATAATAAATTTCACTTCTAAAAATACAAACTAAATTCTTCTCACTCGCAAATTTGGCGTGATTTAAACATGCAAAGGTGAGTAGCTAAAAAAAAAATTCATTGTGTTAACAACCTTTCGTTCAGAAAATAGTTCGGTCGCTGGATCATTCATTACATAAGTCTACATTAGGCTTTTTTAGCGAATGGCTTTTGTTCCCGTACTACCTGCATTGCGTCTATTAAATCATCGATATTATTATTTATTTAATAATTAGTAATAATCAATATATATATATATATTAAAAAAAAACAATAAAAATTTTTATTAAGGTATTTATATTTATATGAATACAAACTATTTTTAATATTCATGTGAATTAGATTATTTAATTATTTAAACTTTTCCCATAGTCACTCATAAATATTTAAATTTTTCTTTCGTTTTTCATCCTCTTTTCGCCTTTATATATTTTTTCATTTTTATTTATCAATATAAGTGATTCTGACTCTTATAATGAGTTTTTTACTAAAGATTTCCTTGAATGTATTCCAGTAGAGGTATGCTCCGGTGAAATCCGTTCAATCCGTCATCCGATCTGATCAAAAAACGGATCATTCGGATTATGAATGAACGGATCGCGGATAATCCGGATGTGATCCTCGGATAACATCGGATTGATCGGACGTTATGCGGATGACCGGATTGATCAGATAATCCGGTCATTTAATTTTATTTTTTTTTTTTTTTTAAAAAAGAAAACACCTTTTTTATTCTTTAAGATCGGACATGGAATAGGGGGTAAATTCGGTTTTTTTTTTTGGAGTTACTAACATTCCTTTCTTTCTTTTCTTTAGGGGACGCCTTCTTGGACCTGGATTTCGGCTTGGATCATGAAAGTAAGTTAGGTGTGGGTTTTTTTTGTTTTTTTTGTCTTTCTTTGTCTTTGGAATGCTATTAACGTTCCTTTTGCTTCTTTTCTTTAGGGAATGCCTTCCTGGACCTGAATTTCAGCTGGGCTATAAAGGTAAGTTAGTGCTTTTATTTTTTCTTTATCATTAGGAACATCATTAACGTTTCTTTTGCTTCTTTTCTTTAGGAAACGCCTTCCTGAACCTGGATTTGGCTTGGACTATGAAGGTAAGTAGTGTAGAGGTATTATTTTTGTTTCTTCTTTATCTTTAGAATGCCATTAACGTTCCTTTTGCTTCTTTTCTTTAGGGGGCGCTTTCCTGGACCTGGATTTCAGCTTAGGATATGAAGGTAAGTGGTGTGGGGTATTGTTTTTGTTTCTTCTTTATCTTTGAAATGCTATTAACGTTACTTTTGCTTCTTTCTTTTAGGAGACGCCTTCCTGGATCTGGATTCAGCTTGGATTATAAAGGTAAGAGGTGTGGGGGTATTGTTTTTGTTTCTTCTTTGTCTTTGGAACGCCATTAATGTTCCTTTTGCTTCTTTTCTTTATGGATGACTTTCTGGACCTGGATTTCAGCTTAGATTATGAAGATAAGATGGTGTAGGGGATTGTTTTTGTTTCTTTATCTTTGGAATGCCATTAACGTTCCTTTTATTTCTTTTCTTGTGAATTTTTGTTTTTCTTTGTCTTTGGAACACTATTAACATTCCTTTTACTTCTTTTCTTTAGGAGATGCTATCTAGACCTGAATTTTGACTTGGGCTATAAAGGTAAGTTGTGGTGGGTTTTTTTTTTCTTTTTTATTTTTGAAACTTTATTACCAGTTCTTTTGCTTATTTTCTTTAGGAAATGCCTTTCTGGACCTGGATTTCGACTTGGGTTATAAAAGATAAGTTGGAAGGGTGATTTTTTTCATTTTTCATTTATTTTTCTTTAAAAATCATTTACATTTCTTTTCTTTTTTTCTTTGGGATACTTTCCTGGATCTGGATTTTAGA